TTAATATTTTCTTTTCTTTTAAGAGTTTTTTTTGGGGGGGCTACAAGGCATTTGCGCTTGCTGGAGAGACAGAGAAAGAGAAAGCAAGAAATCACCCCCCAGGAGTTTGGCCACACCACAATCCCTTCTCCTCCATTGTCCTCTTGGGATTTTGGGCACGCACACACATGCGCCCAATGAGAGTTTTAGGTCGCTGGGTCTGGGACTTGAACCAGAGTCGACTATGTGGAAGTCCAGTGATGTAACCATTATGCCACCTGCTGGTTCTAGGGATCCTTCTTTGTTTTGCTAGTTTCCTTTCTATTTCTTCAGAAGTACCTTAGAAGTGGAGTCAGAAGAAAACACACACCATGAAACTCACACATTAATGCTAGGAGCACTATACTTTTTTATTATTATTTGCTGTTTATAAGTTTACCAGAGGGTGTGTGCACGCACTGGAGAGGGAGAAAAAGAGAGAGCACGCACCTGCCATGGGGCATGGTCACACCACAATCCCATCTCCATTTCTCCATCCTGGAGGGATTTTGGACATATACACATATGCATTCAGCACATGCCAGGTCCAGGACTTGAACCACGCAGTCACCCATGTAGGATCCAGCTGCCACAACTGCCATGCCCCTAGCTGGCCCTGGGAGCTCCCTACTCACTGCACAGCGTAGCAGTACTCTTTGCCCTCCAGAACCGGCACAGGCCAGTAACGAGCTTCCAAAAGCCCTGGGATGTTGGGCTACGCCAGTTTCAAGGTCTCCCAAGGGACTGAACTGAGCTTCTCCCTAGACACATGCCGTCCCCTTGAAACAGCTTTGCACCCAAACCAGTGACAAAGGACAGGCACATCAATCCTGCCCTTCCAGTTCCCACTACAACGAGAGTCCACTCCCTCGTCCTCCCAGACTGCTGGGTGGCAGACTGCATAAAGGCCAAAGCCACGCAGGCATCTGCGGTCATAGTTGGAGGGAAAGTTTTGTTCTGAATGACAGACGCCTGCTCGGCTCTGCTGCCAGTGCTCTGCAGCATGTAGAGTTTCTGTGAAGTCACCAGACCTGCAGACTGCTAAGCTCTGGAGAAATGAACGCACACCCGGACTGTCGCAGCCAGGACTGATGGATATCTGGGCTTCGGCCTCTTAAAGGAGAGGGGATCTCAGTACCCCTCAGGTCATCTATTCAACCCAAAGGGGGAGATAAAGCTGCCCCAGTTTACTAAAAGGGAACCTAGAAATTATAATTATTAAAAAAATAATAACAAGAGGGGGGCTAGCAGGAGGCATGGTGGTTAAGGTGCTGCACATGGTCGACTGCAGCTCGAGTCCCAGACCCGGAGGCTTGAAAATCATGGCAGGTATATGGATGCATGCCCAGAAACCCAGGAGGAGAGTGGAGAAGAAGGTATTGGGGTGTTGGTGTCCCCCTTTGGGGGGATGATTTCTCACTTTCCCTCTCATTGTCTTCTGTCTCCCTGGTGCTATATGGCAAAAACCTTAAGGAAAAAACCCAACAGGTGGGCCAGCAGGTGGTGTGGAAGTTGAGAAAGCTGGATTCCACATGGCTGGCTGCAGGGTTCCAGTCCCAGAAGCTTTGGCTTGAAAAATAAGCCAAGCCCGTGTATATGCACATGTGCCCAAACTCCCAAGAGGAGGTGCAGTGTGGTCATCCCCCCCCAGACGGTGATTTCTCACTTTCACTCCCTCTTTCTGTCTCTGGCGAGCGCATGTGCCCCACAGCAATAAAGAAGTGACAATAAAATAAAGAAGTGACAAGGGTGCTCTCTGCAGCAGCCTCTTCTAGGAATCTGTCCTGCAGACACCTAAAGCAGGCACAATCAGATGTACGAAGACAGTCACTTCAGCTTTATTTGGAGACCAAAAGACAGAAAATAACCTACGTGCTTTATCAGCGGAGAGCTTGGTGAATAAATCGCAGTCACAGTGGCACAAAACGTCCCAGACGTATACTTGCCAAAGTGGGATTCTCGCTTCAACAGCAAGTACTCTGGGGCAAGCATGCCCTTTTCCCCTCTTGGGTCTTGGACACGGAGCCTCAGAAGACGTGGAGGGCTGCTGCGGCCCGGGCCACTGCCAGGCCAGTCCCACGTGAGCAGGGGGAGGAGGGAGAAATGCTCGGTTCAGCCACTTTCTCTTCTACCTTCTTTGCACCACAAGCCTAAGAACCAATCCAGTGAAAATCTCCCGAATTCCAAAGGGCCTCAGCCCCTGGCACGCCCCTCTCCATAGCCCAATCTGATTCAGAGACAGCCCTGTCAGAACTCTAGGGCACAAGGGCACAGGACAGCTTCCTCTTGTTTTCTGATGGCTCTGAGTGAGCCCTCCGTGGCTCTGGCCACTGCTTCTTCCTGACCCCGTGGCAGGGAGTAAGCCCGTCTCGAGGTTGATGGCAAGCTCAGATCTCCAGGGAGCACTGAGAAAGTGCTGCCCACCTGGATGGTCTGCTGCTAGTCAGGACCCCACCAGCCGGCTGCAGCTAGCCATATCGCGGTGGACAGCACCAGGTCAGGGGGGCTCTCTTGGGGCCCTCCGAAGGCAGAAGCGATCACAGGAGTTTCGCAGATTTAGCAACTGGAAGCGTGAAGTCCACCTCCCTGGTCATCTGGGCCAGGAAAGGTGGAGGGCAGGACACTGCTGACTCAGGCAGGGCAGAGGGAAGCCTTGCCCACGTCCCACAGGGCCCCACCAGACGGCAGGCGAGCTTCTGCTACAAGGTGCTCAGGGCTTCCTGAATGGGGCTGGCGGAGTCCACTGGCTGCTCTCTTTTCCCTGAGCCCCGCTAACCTCCATGCCATCGCTCCGTCCCCAACCCTCAGGGTCGCTTCCACCACTCCTCCTCCTTCACCCATCTCTAAACACTCCCAAAGTCCATTTGATTTTTCTCCAACGGCTCCGATCTCTGCTCTTCCTCTCCACTCCCAGGGCCCCTGCCCTGACTCACCGCCCATCAGCCTGGCTCTAATTCCCTCACCAGCCCTCTATGGGACTCCAGAGCACTCGCTCCCTGCCACCATCCAGTCACAGTTGGAAGATGCAGGTCGAACAGTGTCTCCTCCACCGGAAACGCGGC